GGCCGGCCCGCCCCGCCGGCCCGTTTTGACAAGTCTAGCTGACAGTTTAACACAAACAGAGCAAAAGAAAAGATATGCATTTATGCAGAATGATTTTAACGGGCGTACAAAATATATTTATTATATATATGTATGAGGTTTTAAATAGGGGGAAAAAATGCCAAATTCATTTTTGGAGCATTAATAAATTACTTTTGTATTTTTCTGTGTGAGGTAGAGCAAAAAATAGATAAATGAAGTGGGAGATGAGGAAAGAGCTATAGAATCATTGCCTAAAGAGGAGGGTGAAAGACAATGACGGATCAGATAATTAAAGATATCAGTAGTAGGGATGAGATTTTATACCCGACAATCGGAGAACTGAACTGGACTGAGCCGAAAATAACCGGTTCGGTTCGGTAATTAAAAAAGAAAAAACCATTTTTTTCGGTTCCGGTTATTATTTGCACAAACCGGTTCCGGTTCTCGGCTCTTTTCCAAATGTTTGTGTATTGACCGAAAAACCGACTATATATATGAAATATACATGTTTAATTATATGTTTATATATATAAATCGATTCCGTTTCTTGGTATATAAATCCGGTTCCTCATTTTTCATTTCGATTCTCGGTTTTTCATGATACATTTAGCACATGAGTTGCAATTTTTTGGTCGGTTATTAACTCAAAACCGGTTATTACCAGTTTTTTTCATAAGTCGGTTACCTAAAGAACCAAAAAAACCGAACTGTTATAATATGGTTCAGTTATTTTTAGGTTCCTATGAATATATGTGTAGTAACCGAACCGATTATTTTTTCCGGTTCCTGAAAAATTCGTTAGGAACCAGACCGGTCCCAAGCCTAGATCTCAGTGAGAACATTTTAGGGCATCTTTACCAAGAGGTTTTAATAGTTGATAGGTTTTATTTAATTTTTTGAAATTTTCATTGTTTTATATTAAAGTTGTATTTCTCTTTAGTAAAAACGTGTGTTGGTTTTGGCACCTTTTGTCATTTAGATAAGCTTGTATAAATATGTGGAAACCCTATTTCCACAACACAATTTTTAATTTTGCACTGTTCACATTCAAATTTGAAATAAAGTTCTCTCTTTCCTTTTCTTTCGATTCTTCGATTTTCAATCTCATAATTAATTTGATATAGTATCAATCGCTCAGTTTCACAATCTAGGTACTGAATCAAGCTGATCCACCACGGATCCTTGCTTCCGCACAATCTGACTTCTATTTTTTTTTATCGAAATCTCAGTTAGGGTTTGTGTTTTTTTGCCTTGAAATCGTAATTTCCTTTTTCGATGTTTTGATTATCCAATCTCATATGCGAATATAATTTTGTATATTGTTGACTGATGGCGACTTTATCGACAATCTCGCGCCTGGCCGACGATCCTTCGACGCCCTATTACCTCCATGCCAGTGACAGTCCATGAGCCCTAATCGTAGCCGAGCAATTCACCGGAGAACTACGTTTCTTGGTCTCGCTCAGTTTTGATTGCTCTAACTTATTTTGAAATTTAAATACTGCAATAACATATGAGTATTCAATATAAAGAGAGAAATATTTTGTGTGAATTATCTATTGACTATGTTTGAATATGTTAGATTGTCATTATTTTAATTCTAAACAAGAACTCTAAAATAACAACTATTATAACGGGTCAGATAAATATAGAAATCATATGTTAAAATATTATGTACCATAAAATAAATAGAAAAATATTAATATTCAAAATTATTTTTAATACTAATCAATATTCTTTCATGTTTTTAATGCATTTATATAATTATTGTCATGTGCATCCTATCTTTTTTTTTTTTTTTTTTT